ATAGCTCAAAATCAAGTCTTACACTTGTACATGCATAAAATAAAGTCTTTCTAATTGACATTCATTAAAATTAGGTTAAATAAAAACAACTCATTGACCAGACGTTTATTCGACATTTATTCATTTATTCACATATTGATGAGAATGTGAGAAGCACACTTAATAAGAAGAATGAAAGCGCTGATGTGCGTTAACCAGACAGTTGAAGTCAGGTATCATCTCCATTATTGCAATGCGGAGTTCTGCTGCAAGGTGGTCATCAATCATCATAGATCTATGTTTTGATTTATTGAATTTCATCACAGAAAATGTCTCCTCGCATATGTATGTTAATCCAAACAGCACAAGCATCCTCCAGACATGAGCCTTTATCTTTGGAAAGCTATATTCACTAAGAGAGGTGTAAAAACTGGGACGCGGCACTAATTTGAATTGTTCCGCAAGCAATGGATCACACTGCAGGTCAATAATCTCGAGTTGGAGGTCAAATGGGGCTTTGTCAACATCAAATGAGAAAGGTGAAGAGACCAAAGACAAGCATTTTCGATCAAATTGAAATCCTGTAATCGACGAGAAAATTCGGCATGTAAGGCAAGTAGTGACAAAATATACTTTTTAAGGCTTTGATCGCAAACAGTAATCTGCTGCAAAGTTGGAAAGTGGGTGAACTGCCTGTTTGTTTCCTATCTGACGCGATAAAATAAATAATTTCGTCATAAATGACTTGACACTGCAATACAAATCGTATACAAATACAATAAAATACAAAGGGCCCTTCCGTTGCAGTTTTGAATTCAGTTCATTCACATGGCCCATGGTATCAACGGCAAATGTGAAATCAGAGAGCCAATTCGCATTATTCAGCTGTGGGAAATCCGAATCTTTTTGTTTCATGTGCAAAAATCAATCAATCTCTGTTCTCAGTTCTCACACTCTTTTCAAGACCTTTCCTGAACTAAGCCATCTTACATTCATGTGATACAGACCAATTCCTCAAGCAGAGTTACAAATTGCCTGTGGTTTAATCCTCTTGCTCGAATGTAGTTGACCACTTTCATAACTGTGTCCACGACATTGCTTAACACTCTTACAGAGTGTTCTAAAACTAAGCAATGTCGTGGACACAGTTATGAAAGTGGTCAACTACATTCGAGCAAGAGGATTAAACCACAGGCAATTTGTGGTGGATAATGCAGTGTAGAAAAACAATATTCTGTTCTGGATTTGTTTCTTTGACTTGATCTTAAATTCTTTTCAGTAACCCAACATTTTTGCCTGTCAGATTTGGGCTTCCATCGGTGGTCACATTCACCAATTTTTTCCACTTCACTCCTAATTTTAAGATAAACTTATTTACTGCCTCCAAAAATTCTTTTCCAGTTATCGTATCTGCATTGATGCCAATTTTTCTGTGAGCTCAAAATGTTTGGTGATGCCTCGAATAAAAATTATCAACTGGGCTGTGTCTTTGACATCACAAATCTCATCGAGTGCCAGTGAAAAACATGCAAAATTGCTTACTTTATTTTGTAACTGCACACTCTTTTTATTTTCTTTATTTATTTTATTTTTAAATTTATTTTTATTTTATTTATTTTAGTTGTTTTATTTTCCACCCACATTGGCAAAAAAAAATGTAGAAGTCCATTCTTTGTTGAATATTCGGCCTTCAGCGTCCACTTTCCGCTTCTTTGATAAACTCATTTCGAATTAACGTCCTCTTCAGGGAAAACTATTGCCGCGGTTGCTGCCTGCGTGTATTTGAAAATTTGCTGATCCGTACATTTCTGACGTTAGCCTGACTCAACACTTAAGGGAGCGTACGTACAACTAAGCAGTTTGATTTGCTGATGTTCCCGGTCTGATTCAAATGCGAAATTTCTGGGATTGAACAAACTAAAATATTTTCTATTGTTAGACACAATGACAGGCCGGATAGAATCATTTGGCGGGCCGGATATGGCCCGCGAGCCGTCTTTTGCCCACCCCTGTCCTGGAGGCTGTGCAGTGGAGAGGAATGAGGATGATCCAACTGTTAGAGGAATGAACTACGAACAATAATTAGCCAAGCCAGGGCACGTCAATCTTGAGACCTAGTAGAGGAGTACAAGCTTTACTGTAAAGTGGATTGAATAAAAAAGAAAAATATTCTTTAGGATACACCAAAACAGTGGAATAAGAGGACACAGGTTTTCAGAAGGGGGCAATTTCAGGGGGGGGGGGGGTGGGGTGTGGTGGAGGGGGGGGTGGGAACGATAGAGTGAGTGCAAGTGTTACGACCATTATCATTGTGATTGTGACTGATTGAGTGTGTTGGAGGTGTTGAGACTGAGTTATTGTTAAGTCCTGGCGTCTGCAGTGTCTGATGTGGGGTGAACATGCATCTCAAAGTACTTCACATGATGTACTATAAAGTAGATTGACTGTATTTGTGGGCAACAGCCACCTGGTGGAATTTCAGACTCGCAGGCCGCTTACCAGATACTTGGTATGGCTTTGCTTTGACTCCCCTTTATAAACTGTGCGTCCATTTGTCATACGTCAGCTACAGTAGAGTACGATGCGTGTTCACAGGGCATTTAATAATAGTAATTTAATGATGGTAATAATAATAAATAATCCTTGCATTTGGTACAGCCCCTTTCATGTCAGGAGGGCATCTCAGTGTTTCACAGGATTTACTGTAAAGTGTAGTGACTATGTATTTTGTAGGTGATTTTGCAACATCCCACAAACAGCCATAAAGTGAATGACCAATTTTTTGTGGGGGATTGTTAGCCACGACCCAGGATATTTATACATTGTGGGAGTGCACAGTGCATTTTACGTGTTCGTGAAGCGTGACAGTGAGGGGAGAGTGGGGCAGGTAATGGCAGGCCCACTAACGCTGGTAGAGGATGTCATTGCCGGTGCAACAAGCACAATCTGTGCTTCCACATTTTCATTTGCTGTACATCACACAGATTTAAGATAATTGGCAAAACAACCAGAGGAGAGACAAGGAGAATTTCTTTTACTCAGTGTTGCAATAGCAACAGCAGCAACTTGCACTTTATAGCTCCCTCCACCCAGGGTAGCATCTCAGATCGCCTGACTCCGAGCCGGGGAAGGGGAGATGGCCGTAAGCGTGGCCTGAAAAGCAGATTTGATAATAGCTTTCAAAAGGCAATTAAGATATATACTTAAACAGGAAAAATGTGCAGGACTATGGGGTAAGAGCAGGGGAGTGGGACTAGCTGGTAGCTCTTCCAAAGAGCTGGCAAAGGCACAATGGGCTCCTTCTGTCCTGTAATATTCTATGATTCTATCAGACTGATGCGTGCCTCTGACAGGGACCTCTGCTGTTGTTCATGTACGTTTGGCAAGGACAGGAAAGTGGAACCCATCCCCCCCAACTGGCCAGTACTCACCACCTAAACTCCCAAGCATGAGGAACGTCCTCCAGAGGGACTCTCATCAGGGAGTGGGGGGGGGATTAGGAAAAGAAAGCCCACCCTAGATGTGGCACACACATTGCATACAGCAACCAACAATGAATTACATTTGTATAGCGACTTTCACATCGGGAGGACGTCCCAAGGCGCTGGACAATCAGGGATTTGGATGTGAGTGGGAGCTGATGGGGGGGAGGTGGTTGGGATCAGGAGGGCTGGAGGGCAGGGAGGGGAAGGTTAGGGGGGTGTCTGAAGGCACGGTCAAAGAGGAGGGTCTTGAGACATGCCTTGAAGGAGGCAAAGGGAGGGAGCAAGGCAAAGGTACTGTTGGGGCAGAGACTAAAAGCCCGTCTGGCGATGGTGGGGCAGGCCGGTAGGGGGATATAGAGCCTGCTGTCCGGAGAGAATGGACAGGTCGATGTGGAGTTAGCAGGTCCCAGAGGTAGGGAGAAGCCAGGAGGTGGGGATCACATGAAAGAGAAGAAGCAGTGTTTATTTGGTTTTATTTCATCGACAGGAGTCCTGCGTTCTTTCACTTCAGTAACTGTTGGTTGCACAGAAACAATGACTGACAAATACACGAGCCAAGAGACCTATCCTTTCTGAGATTTACAGTTATTTACACTGAGCACAATATATGTTCACTGACGTTTGGAGCCTGAAGTTCGAATAACATTATTAAAAATAGACTTGCTTCCTTTTAAAAAAAAACAACAAAAAATAGAAAACAAGTTAAGTGACATCAACAGATAATATATTATATATTAGACGCAGAGCAGTGGGAGCTGGGAGAGAATTGGTTTGCGAATGTCCCCAACGCAACTTTTTTACACATTTTTAATATTTTTTTAAAAACAAAAGTAACAGCGACAAGAATGAAAAGCTTTCTTTTTTCTTCTTTTTAAAAAAAAACACACAACTTTAACAAATTATACAACCTTTTCTTCCAAAGCTATTTAATTTATAACAGTAAAAGTAAAACAGGAAAGCAGTCTGTGGTGTGGTGGACCATTGCGAGTTATTAATGCTGTGTAATATAAAATACAGTACAGTGTAAATTAAAAAAAACTACAGATGAAACTGAATAATTGTTAAAGGAGATTTGGCTTTGACTGAATTGACCCATTGTACAAATTGTACAAAGGGAGATTCCTGCATATTTTGTGATCAACCTAATTTTTGTCATTACTCTCTGATGTGCCAAGCAAACAGGACAAAGAGGGTGTGAAGGGCAAAGTTAGGACAACCTGTAATAATAATCATCCCACTTTATAATAATAATAATTCTTGCATTTGATCACGCCTTATCACGTCGTTGAGACATCTGAAAGCTCTTCAGAGAATATACTGTAAAGTGAATTTTGGGTGAAACATGGCAGCCAATTGCACACAGCAGTGTCCCACAAACAGTTGTGGATTGAGTGATTGAATTATTATTTTTTGAATTTTTTTTGAAGGGATTATTACCCCCCAAAAGCGATCCACCAATTGAGTAACAACCGGGTTCCTACTTATTGCTAGGTAAACAGAGCATGTGGAGTAAGGAAACTTGCCTAAGGTTTCGCCCTGCACAAGAATCAAACCCAGGTTCTCTCGCTTGCGAGTTGAATGCTCTAACCAATACGGTACAGGATTCCATTTTAGTCCCTACCTTTTAGTCCTAACTCTTTGACCAAGCCTATAGTACTTAAGAGGAAGCACCCCTTCCACCCTTACTCTACTGTGCAGTGTTCTGAGATGCTGCCCTGTTTGAAGGGCTGTGTATAAATGCAAGCTGTTGCTGTAATCCTTGCATTTAAATCCTTCACATCAGGAGAGGTTTACAGGATTTACTGTAAAGTGGAATATATGTGTGTAGTTCGGTGTATATATATGTAGCAATGTTTGCCTATAGACATTATGTAGTTAATAGGCAAACATTGCTGCCAATTCCCATGTTTGTATACAGTGTATACTGGGTTATTGACAGTGGTTTGCCAGCAAGGGTAGTTGAGGCCAGGACTCCAGAGCAACAGGTTGATGCTGTGATGGAGAATGGGAGACTGGGAGTGTTTAGAAGGGGAGCGGGGCATCAAAGCATCTTGCTCATTAAAGGGCTTTTTCATTCGTTCACTGGAAAATATCTGCCTCTAGCTGACATTTTCAAAACATGACAACCAAGCAACAGAAAGACAGCAGTGTGTGTATCCAGACATCTTACTTTACAGCACTCCGCATTAAGTTGCAATTCAGTGGAGCGCAGTTCCCCCTTGAGTACCTATGCTTCAGACAGAACGTCATGGGGTCTGTGTTGTTAAGTACAAGGAAATCAAATTATCATACTATATACAGCCTACAATAAATACTGTCCGTTGTAAGGGAAGTTATACTTTTATATTAAAGAAATTCTGTTATCTTAGAGCCTCATGTCTGCTGGCGAGGGGCTGTGTGATGGTTCCTGCGGTTCCGAGGCTTCCTCTGTTCTCTGACCGGCTTGTCTTTCTGCTGCTTGTTTAAGTTCTGTTTCTCAATGTTGGCCGGGCGCTGCCAGTAACCCTCGCAGTATTGGTTGATGACCCCCATCTCGGGTTGGCTCAGCAGCTGAAGGAGGTCCTTGTACTGTGGGTTAGGTGCCCTGGATGTACCCGGGCTGCCGACCCCCTGCAGGCTGGCCATGGGCAGCCCCGAATGGGTCAGCACCAAGTTCACCGTCTCGTTGTTGAGTACGCGCAGATGTACGCGAACCAGTGCATGTTTGAAATTGTTCTCGGTGGCGGTGCACTGGTATATCCCCCCGTCTGCCAGCTGTAACGATCGCAGGAGGAGGCCCTGGTCAGTTCGGAGGATGCGTTCGTCGGACTTTATCTGTAGATAAAAACAAGCGGAAACATGTCATTCCTTCACAGTTGTCAGGCCAGGAGCATCTTTAATGTCAACGTGTTTTTTTAAAAAAGATGATTGTAAATTCTATTGACAGCTGTTTTGAAATATTTGGCAAGAACAACTTGCATTTACACAGCGCCTTTGCTATATAAATGTAATTTTGTTGTTGTTGTTGTTCACCTGGGATAGCGTCTCGGAGCTCTGAAATGACACAGATGGTACACAGATGGTCTGTGTAGGTTCCTGTGTATCAGATCTGAGTAAGTGCTTGTGTATTCGGTCCCAGGTGCCTGTTAAAGACCACCCATCATTGCTCAGAAAGGTAAGGAGGTTCCTCATGGTGAGCTGGCCAACAATCCCCCAAATAAAACAGGTCAATCACTGACACAGCTGTTTGTGAGACATTGCTGTGGGCAAACTGTTGCCGCCTTTGCTACAAAATATACATTCACTGCACTTCACAGTAAATCCTGAGATATTCTGCCGATGTGATAAATGTAAGAATTATTATTATCTCAGAAGACGCTGCCTGTCGACCTGAGGGCACAGTTTCTGGAACCAACGTTCTGATGATTGCACAATGAGCTGCTGGGCACACAGTGACGTTGATGCCATTAGACAGTGTTTGTTTTAAAATGTGAATTGCCCTCCTTTGACCGCTCTCCTTCCTGCTCCTGCCCTGCTCTTGACATCCTTTGGCTTCAGCTGTGAATGTACTGGCAGCTTTGTGAGAAAGGAAGTCTCCCATTCAACTGCTCCAAATGACTCACTGTTTGGCACAGCATTGTCTGGGCCACATCAGTTCTACTCAACTCAATGTACACTATACAGGAAACGGTGAAATACACAGTCACTCCACATTGCGGTATAGCGGGACATCCTTCCGAAGTGAAAGCCGCTATTACAAATGTAAAGGATTTATTTATTAATCTGGAACTCCATCCCGAGTCCCTCTGACTCACTTCCTCCCTCACCTTGTTCAGGGCTGTCTCTCAAGACCTAACTCTTTGAGCTCGCTTTCGGTCATCTCACCCCGCCCCACCCCCCAGCTCGAGTGTCCAGCGCAGTGAAAGGTGCGGTGTAAATGTAAGTGTGTATTGTATGGTGTCAGTCTGGTCAGTGTATCCTAGTGTTCAGGGTGTGTAACTGCGGCTGTGTGAGGGTGACCTGCCAGATTACCTCTTTCTTGCGGTCACTTCCTTCTCGCTGTAACACCCACTTGATGGTGGCCTGAGGAGACTTGGGCTGGCACTCGAGGAAGGTGCTGCTGCCTTCCACTCCATACTGCTCCGTCTCCATTGTCTTCCTGTTAGCTGAGAACACCACAACAGCTCCAGTTACAACCTCCAGCAATAGGAACATAGGAATTTCTAGACGAAAATGGCCCAAGGTCCATCCAATTCTCCTTCCACCATCCTGGTAATCGCATTCACATTGCTGTGTCCTGAACTACTCATTTACTAAATCCCAAAATGTTATTTCCTAAAATAAATCGATCGCATTTGCATTTGAAAGAATCAACACTTTCGATAGTGTGCAGTTAATCAGAAAGCAACAAGAGGTTGCATTATTCAGCGACCTTCACATAGATCACATAACAGAGCACTTAACAAACAACTTCAGCTCTTAGTTGTGCAATTCTGGTCACATCACTGGACAAGATATAAGAGCGTTATCCTCTCATCACAGTCCTCTTTACAATAAATCATGTGAAGTGCTTTGCGAGCATAGAATCAGAATATTACAGCCCAGAAGGAGACCATTCGGCCCATCGTGCCTGTGGAAGAGCTACCTAATCAGTCCCACTCCCCCGCTCTCTCCCCATACCCCTGCAAATTTTTCCTCTTGAAGTACCTATCTAACTCCCTTTTGAAAGACATTACTGAATATGTTTCCACCGGCCCTTTCAGGCAGCGGTGTCCTCACAACGTAAAAGGTGCTGATTCAAAATGATGAGTTTCTGCACCGCCCGGCTGACCAAACCCCCCACACTCACCATTAGAGTTGTATCCTCGGCACTGTCTTATTGGATTCCCGTGCCGTACGTCTTGCCTTCGGCTGCGTCTGATATTGACACGAAAACAAGTTGAGGAAATGAAAAGGCTTTTAAAAGCTGGAACATTCCATGGCAAAAAAAAATTCCAAATTCAATTCTAAATTTACGTGGTGCTGTTTAATTGAATTTAATTGAAGTTAAAATAAATAAATCTTCAGAGAAAGATGAATAATAAGTTCCTGTGATCGAGTGACAGCCAGCTCCTGGGTGAATTCATCATCAAAAATGTATTTTACTAAAACTCAAACACGTGACATGGCTTTGCTGTAGAAAAATATAACTAGCACTGAAATCTGCATGTGTAATTCACAAGAATATTTTCCCAACAGAGTACGTCACAATTAACTGTGGGTGGGTTGTAATCTACGTTTGTTCAAGCTCCACATCAAGACTTTGAACTCAACAGTCTAGGCTGACACTCTAACACAGTCCTGAGGGGCAATGCATCGTAGGAGTTGCCGTCCTTCGGATGAGAGGTTAAACTAAGATCCTGTATGTTTGTTCAGGTGAATGTTAAAGATCCCGACAAGAGAAGGGAGCTTCCACCTGTGTCATGGCCGACAATCTCCCAGGTAAAATTGGTCACCCACAATCTTAGCTGTTTGTGGGATATTGCTGTGTGCAAATTACATCCACTCCAAATACAGTCACAACACGGTACGAATCCTGTGAAGTGCTTTGAGCCGTCAAATCCTAATAATATTTCCAATAATAATCCTTACATTTAACATGGCACTTTCACGCCAGGAGGACATCTCAAAGCGCTTCACTACAGTTACAGTAAAGTCCAGTGACTGTGTATTTTGTAGGATTAAGGCAAATGTGGAACCCCAATTTTTGCATAGGAATGTACCATCAACAGCCATGGCGAATGACCAATTTTGTTTTGGGGGATTTATTTGTTGGCTACAGTGAGAAACTCCCTTCCCATTCCCTTCCCAGCTGCGACTCCCCGACACGTTACTCTCTGACACGCGGGGGACTGCGTAAGAGTAAGGGCTGGAAATACAAGCTAGTTATTAGCCTGAGGAATAGAGATGCTGATTGCTGACTGAGTTCTATCCTATGTATAGCGCTTGTGAATACATTTTAATGAATATTTTTGTAGTTTTTGAAATCCCATGAAACCAGATGAAGCTGCCTGGTAATGAGATGTCAGTCTGCCCTCCAGCTAATCATACACATCTGATTTTCTTCTCCATCAAGTTCTGTGGATTTTATAATTTCCCTGGCATGGATCGCAGCTGCTACATTTTGCAGTCATTGCCAGTGAAGCGCATCAGAGCCCACGCTACAGGCACTGTATGAAAAGCAGGGCTGATTTATTTATTATTCAGGTCTATGGTAGCTGGAAATTGGAACTCAATTATTGGTTAAGTTAATGGGACATCGGGGTCCAATGGGTGGTACTGATTACTCACGTATTGAATAAGTAATTCCTATTTTGACGAGCCTGATTTGCACTCCTCAAACAAAGATTACATAGAATGTACAGCATTGAAACAGGCCACTTGGCCCAACCAGTTTGGGCCAGCGTTTCTACTTCACACGAGTCCCTAGCCATTCCTTATTCTCTCCCGTACCTTTCTATTCCCCTCTATAATAATAACAATCCTTGCATTTGATATAGCATCTTATCACATCATTGAGATGTCTCACTCATGTGAAGATCTCCTCTTGAATGCATCTATACTATCTGACTCAACCACCATTTCAGTCAGCACAATCTCACGACTCCCTGTGTGAAGAGGTTCCTCCTTAATTCTCTTTCAGATCCCATAATTTCTACTTATGTTTGTGTCTCCTGGTTACAGACTCCTCAAAACTAGTGGGACCAGTCCTTTACACTGAACGCTTTTATAAATGTAAACATCTGTTCATCTGAACCAATCTTGTGAACTCCCCTCTCCATCACCACAGGCGCCTGTGTGTGAATGGCAAGTCTGTTGAGAATCAATCCCGTACCTTTTAGATGAGGCTGAGTATCTGGAGCAAGCCTTGCCGTCCCAGGCGCAGTAGGGATCTCTGGCGAGGCAGCAGTCGGCACAGGCCTCTCCATAGACATCACAGCGGTGGAGAGTGACCTGAGTAATGCCCAGGGTAGAGCCCACATACAGCTGTTGCTATTGGAGAAAAATAAACATGTTGAGATTAAAGATTTAGGCAATCGTATTTCAACAACAAAACTTAATAATAATAAATAATAATCCTTGCATTTGATATAGCGCCTTATGTCATTGAGAGTTCCCAAAGTGCTTCACAGGATATACTGTAAAGTGAACTGACTGTATATTTTGTGTGCGAAACTTGTGAAATACAGTTCCCTTCATGTAGGATAATGAAGGTGGCAAAGTTGAATGCCGAGCAAGGGAGAAGAGGGAAGGTGTCATTAGGCATGGTCGAAGAGTTAAAACAATTTTCAGGTGAGATTTAAAGATAAATAGGCAGCGAGGTGGAGGGCTAGTGCAGGGAGTTCAAGAGGTGAGGGCTGTAGAGGCTGGTTCAAACTCATTTCTGTTTGGATCGGGATTTTGCTGTAACCCGCAGGGGTAAACAAACCAATTTGTAAAGCTCAGTGCAACAACTCATTGATTCATTCATTCGTTGCTTGATTCAGTGTAAACCACAACAGAAGAGGCTGAACACAAACATATACTTAAAGCACGAGTGCAGTAATTACATTTCTGAAAGGTGCTGGAACCTGATGTTTGCCGTCTGCCTCACACTGGCCTGGAACTGATTCCCTGAGCATTAAGAGACAGAAGGTACTTGTGGGTGATCAGGAAGTTATATTAAATGGATTGGGAGCTTGTCCATGCACTCTGCCACGTGAAGCAAACCTTTCAACATGACCTGTTATGGAAATAGATCATTTTAGTCCACACGGTGGAAGTGGGTGAGAAGTGGCTTTGTTTATCGGAATTTAAAGGCTTGATCAGAAGTTGGGTGGCTTGGGGAGAATTGTAGTGGGATTGACTACAAATCACAAAATAACCTGTGGGTTGAAACAGCAGTAATCTGAGCTGACCACATATATAAATACAAATTGTTGCTGTTGTTAAGGATGTGTCAAAGAGTTTCACAGTGTGGGTGACTGTGTGTTTTTGTAGGTTAATATCATAATAATCTTTGCAATTGACATGACCTTCAAAACGTCTCAAAAAAGCACATCACAGGATTTTACTGACTGTATTTTGTAGGCGAATGTCAGAGGCTTACAGTTATCATCTCCTCCCCCCACTCTCCTCCTCTATGGAGGGTCTGGGAGCAGAGATCTGGTGGGGAGATTGGTTGCCCAATCACTCATCTGAGAAATGGAAGTTGAGATGTTGAGTGCATGTGCATGACACCGGCTTGTGTCAGTATCAGAAACTCACAAACCACTGGAGACATTCGTCTGTAAGATACGCAGTCACTACAATCTATTCTACAGTGTGAAGCACTTTGAGACATCCTCCCAACGTGAAAGTCTATATCAAATGTAAGGATTATTTATTATTATTAAGACCACCATATTATTCTGCATTAAATTGTCAATGAAGCGCATCTTTGTTACTTTTATTTCCTCCAGTGTTTCAACTATTTTCATTGACCAACACGAGCAGAGATTATTCTCTGCCTCAGTGTGGAATCTATGCATCGTTCGAGAACGAGGCTGATCTTACCCTTTTGGATGAAATCTTCATTGTCTTCACCTGGGCAGGCATCTGAAACATGAAAGATTACAATGTTACGAATACAAAATAAACACGAGAACACTGACCAGCAAACGCAGTGTGTGTGTGTGTACACGTGTGTGTGTATGCGTGTGTGCATTCAGGATTGCAAACACAGGGGGACTCAGCGTGTGTGTGCGCGCATGTGTGTTCAGGACTGCAAATACAGGGGGAGTCAATATGTGTGTGTGTGTGTGTGTGTGTGTGCATACGTGTGTGTGTCTTCAGGACTGCAAACGCTGGGGGAGTCAGTGTGTGTGTGTGTGTGCGTGCCTGCCCACCCGCCCTTCAGGCTACAAATACAGGGGGAGTCAGTGTGTGTGTGTGTGTTTGCCCATCCTTTAGGGCTGCAAACACAGGCGGGTCAGTGTGTGGGTCCTTCAGAGCTACAAACACAGGGGGGGAGTCAATGTGTGTGTGCAGGGTTGCAAACACAAGTGGAGTCGATGTGTTTGTCCCTAGGGGCTGAAAACAAGCCGTAAACTAGAATAAATATAGGTTGAGTAAACCAGAATAAACTGCAAGATTGTTTTGGATGAAGAAGGTCCTTTGAGCCATCTGATCTCACTGCCCCAGATCAGTCAGGCCCCATCATAGCATCAAGCTGCTTTTTGAATGAGCCCAGTGTCCTGACCTCAACCATCCTTCCTGCTAATCTGTTCCTGTCATTAATTTCCCTCTGGGTAAAGAAAAACTTCCTGGTTTGTGTCTGGAAATTTATCATTCTGTGTCTTCTTCTTGTGCTGCATTTAGTGCATCCTAAAGTATTCTGGGTTTACCTTTTTGATCCAATTTAAAATTTTGCACATCTCTATAATATCCTCTCTGTCGTCCTCTCTCAAGACTATAGAGCCCGAGCTTGTCTAATGGCTGCTCAGAGCTTGTTCGTTCCTGCAGCATTGCCCTGCGTCTAGCTTAATGTCCTCATGTGCAGCTCTGCCACAAACACCCTCTAATCTAACCAGCTGTATTAGATGGGAGACCTCTCGTGCTGTAGAGATGTTAACATCCACACAGCACATTTTGGAAAAAAAAATCAGAGTTTGCTGAAGTGCCCTCGAGAGTTTAATGCATCCTAATGGAGATGGATTAACATGGGCAGAGATACAGCATTAAACTGGGACGCTGCTCCATCTCCTGAGTATTGTATTGTATTGTATTGTATTGAGCTCCTTTCACCATCAGCCTGATCACCATTTATGCTCCTCAGTGCTGAGTGCACTCACTATTTAATAACGTCTCTCTTATCTCTTCTCGCCACTTCACCCCTGCCCCCAACAAAACCAACAAAAAGCCACTTGCAGGGTTTACTATTTAAAAGTGTCCTGATAATAAGACTGCAGTATGAAGGTTAGCGATCAGTTCATGTAACAGGATTAGCCGATATAATGGGATTATTTTAGCTGCGTGTCGATTATTGCTAAGCATTGCTATAAAGTGTGTTCAGATTTCACATTGATTTCAAAGGCTCATGGCAGCAAATGTAAAAGGTCATTTACACAGAAATACCATTCTCTCTCTTTCAGACTGTGTCAACCTTACTGTGAGGCAGCACCCACCCAGTATACTGTGTGACACAGCCACTGGCTATACCGTGTGACAAACTCACCCTATGCTGTGTGACACACTCACCTTGAACACCTCAACCTCCTCCAGGATGAGTTCCTCTCTTTCCATCTCGTCCTTTGGCAGCACAATGACCTTCTGCACAGTTCCCCGATCTGAATGAGAAAGAGAAGAGGCAAGTCAAACATGGTGCCCAGGGTTTGCCAAGAGAGACCGCCCGGTCTGTCGATTACACTCTGCAAAGTCCTGTACATAATCCCATATCAACCGGTCCGACTCACATCCCCGGTCAGGCCTTCAGCTTCTCTGCCCCCACCCTTTGGAACCCCAATCTCACAGTCCCATTGCCTCGCTCCCTTCCTTGCCTCCTTCAAGGCACTGTTCAAGACCCATCTCTTCGACTGAGCCTTTGGCCAAGCTTCCTACCCTCCACCCTCCCTCATCCCCCCTCCTCCCCGACTGTCCAGCGCTTTGGGACGTATTCCCAACATGAAAGGTGCTGTACAAATGTGATTTTGTATTGTATTGTTACAAGACAGCGATATGAGACTATGGAGGAGGAAACAAGCATCAGAGATGCATTTCACCTCCTGACTCTATCCATGTTTCGGAAGATGTGGCACCGAACATAGTGACGGACCATTATCTGCCATGAAACGATGGCGCTCACACACACACCGATCTTCTGGACGTCTAAATACAGTTAAACACTTTTACTGAATACAGTTAAGCACTTCTAAATACAATTACCATCAATTTTCCACGTGTCTCAGTTGTTGGTCAGTGCACTGTAGGAAATAAAATGAGAGTAACAGGACTTTGTACAAGCAGACGGACAGAGTGGTGCAGTGTGACTGTGAATTTACCTGTTCCCAGAAACAACACTTCGTATCTGCCGTCGGCTGCATCCACCTGGTCCACAGTGATGGTGGTGAACTCATAATTCACGTTGGTCCTGACCACTAGAGGGCGCTTGTGCACTGGGTAGACAGAGTTGTACATTGTCGGATGGTTCCGCATAAAGTTGATCACTTCGTCGGGGTAATCCTTGGTGGATCTCATTGAGGGAGTGAAGGTGCCCCCAGGACACTGCAGGAGCAAGTTGAAAGCTATCTCAGTCCCATTACAGTCACAACACGTTTCAAGTTCTCAAAGACATTTTTCAATTTAACTCTTCCCGAGGGGTTTGTGTTGTTTAAGGTGAGGTACAGGGTGGAGGGGTAGGGCTGGATCATGTCTTCCCCACCCCCATTAAATGCTCTAATGGTCAGCATTAAAGTGAAGAGCACTGCTTGTTCACTGCCTCAGGAATGTGAACTTCTCAGAGACCATTTCCTACCGCCATTGCCCAGCATTGTCCTCCAGAGGACTCAGGTTCGTGCACTTTCTGAATGGAGCCAACAGTTTAGCACCAATGAGCCATCTGATGTTGTGGATTCACTATCACTGGCATGGACTCCAATTTACGCTCTGCTTGTTTCTTTCAAACAACACGTATTTGGGTAGATTTATTATTATTAATAATAACAATCCCCATAACTCGGGTCCAAATCCCTGACTGTTCAGTGGCTTGGGACATCCTCCCGACACGAAAGGCGCTATACAAATGTAATTTGGTATTATATTGTATTGTATTTGAACCCTGGCAGAGTTGAAGGGCAAACTGACTAATCCTTAAATTTCTCTTAAAGACAAACTTCTGTGCAAATTCTGTGTGCAAATGTTGCTGGCGCATTTGCCTACCAATACATAGCCACTCAGCTTCACAGTGATGTGACAAGGCACTGTACCAAATGCAAGGATTACTATTATTTACCAGATGTAAGGATTATTATTAGATTATTAATCTCATTTTTCTGTGCATGACAATCCTTAATCTGAGCTCACAGCACAGCGTTTCTGAATCACCAGCCACTATGTAGCCTGATAGAATCTTTCAGAATGTTGAAGATTTCAATTGAATTTTCTCTTAACCTTCTATTATGTTGTGGTGAAAAACAAAAGCCCCAATATTTCAAGTCTTCCCTGATAAACCCAAACTCCTGATCCCTGGTCTCACAAGATGCCAATGGGCAATGAACAGCGGCTTTCTGTAAATTTATTCAGACAAGTGATGCAGTGTCAGAGCCGAGGGACTTACTGTGCCAGGTCTGGGTAGGGGATCTTCCCTGTGAACGGCATCCACTGGTAGTTTGGTCCCTCTTTGTGGGCAAAGGGCCCGTTGAAGACAGTACGTATGTCCGTCATTGAATACACACATACAGCAGACCCTTTGAAGACTGACCTGTTGAGAGAGAGAAAGACTCATTGTCAGGAACTGAATGCTTTTATAGCATTTATAACAGAATTAAGCCTCTGCAATATAAAAAGACTTCTCCTGAGCAGCTAGGCCCATTCTAGTGTGTGGGTATTTTATATTAATATATTAACTCAGATTCAGTGTTTATTAAGGTGGCGAATAGCGGTTGTGTTTGGATATCCTGCTCCTGTGACCCAGAGCATTAACCCTGTTCAGAATTAGTGTAATTACAGTGGGAAAAATCCAATATATCCCCGAGCAATAGAGCTAGCTCTTCATAGAAAATCTCTCGCAACAACACTACCAACAACAACTTGCATCTATATAGCGTCCTTCACGCAGGGCAGCATCCTGGAGAGTATACCTTAACTTCAACCTCAGATAGACCACAGTTCCACGACCAGCATCCATTACCAGCTGCTCAAATAATCTGGTGTAAAAGTCGCCCAGTGGTGGTCGAGCAAAGTGACAAACTCACACCCACACACCTTGGCCTTGTAAGAGTGACTCTAAGCTCATCAACTAGTACTTCAGACTGGGGAACCTCACGAACTGAGTGCAATCCCATATTCCAGAGGTGAAGTGCATTCTAACCAGGGCCCTTATCTGCATCCTTTCCTAATGTCCTTATGATAACCCATGTACTTGCTTGATCTTTCCCACTGTTAACCCTGTAAGCCAAAGCCCTCACGGATAGGGTGGTCCTAGCTGGACAAGCAGCTGGACAAACAGCAGGAAAAGCTTGCCAGACAGTACACTCAATGGTAAGCTGTGCGGAGTAAGCTGGTTAAACTACAACAGTTACTTCAACCCTCTGGGGTCCCGAAGCCTTGGCTCTTGCCAACCTGCGCCTAATACTTTCTGGAATTAAGTAAGCAGGATGCGTCCCTCGAGGGAAAGAGAGTGAATTCCATTCCAATAAACATCGTTGCAATGTGTAGGTGGGATGCATGGATTTCTCAGTTTGGTTTGGATACTCTTAAGCATGGGGATGGGTTTCCGTAATGTGTCAGACGCAAAATAAATTCCTCAATCAGACTTTGTTGAACGCAGAGAGGAGAGTGTTCCCAAGCGGACAATCCTGGGCAATGAAAGGTCAAGGTTTATGACCTGTTGTCTTCATTTCCTGTCTGCCTCTGCCTCAGGCTCCAGGTCTATTTACATTGTCTCCCATCCCCTGGACCAAGCCACGTGGCACCTACCCTGAGGACGAGAACACGGCGTAGATAACTGGGTTCTTCACATCTTGTGTCCGCTGAACAAATATGTCCTCTGGAAAGACAGACAGGAAAGAGCATTACTTGTCTTTCAATTCAGAGCAAGGGGCGGAATTAAGATTACATTCTTCGTGATATTTTATAAAGATTTATGAGACAGTCAATGAAATAATCTAAACAATCTGTTGGGCCAGACTGCCTGAGTATTCCCCCCAGGGATAAATATAAATGTAACTTTTCAGTTGGAAACTTTACAAACCTAGAGAATAATGTACTTTATATTATAATCGAATGAAATCATTGTTTGTAGCTCATTGAAACGTGCGGAGTACGAGACAATGGCTTTAAATGCAATTCTGGTGCATTCTGTAGCTTTCACATTTCAGATGGCACCATTTCCACAATTGGGCAGCAGCAACACAGCAGGTCAGCGACAAAGTACCCAAGAGAGGTTAACACACCCTGAAATTTCCACTCCCCACTCCCTCGCTAACTACTCAAAGCTCAATTTGTTATTACAAAGCTCCCACTTGCTTTCTAATCACAGTCCACTTTGATATATAATAATAATCCTTGCATTTGGTATAGCGCCTTGTCACGTCAAGAATTTCTCAAAGTGATTCACAGGATTTACCGTGAAGTGTAGTGACTAGGCATGTTGTGGATGAGTGCAGTCGTCCTATTTGCGCACAGAAATGTCCAGCAAATCAGCTATGGAGAGAGTGACTAATGTGCAACAACAAGACACTTCATAGGAACAGGAGGAGGTCATTCAGTCTATCACACCTGTTTCTCATGGTTTTTGGATCATTGCAGATCTTTTAATCTCATTTCCTGTTTTATGTCCAAACTCCAAATATCCCTCTATCTCCTGTGGAAACATTTCAGCCTGGCTCAGTGGTAGCACTCTCGCTTCTGAGTCAGAAGGTTGTGGGTTCAAGCCCCATGTTGCGACTTGGAATTATGTAGTCTAAGCTGACACTCCAATACAGTGCTGGGGGTGTATTGCATTTTAAGAGGTGCTGTCTTTCAGATGAGACGTTAAACTGAGGTCCCGTCTGCCTGCTCAGATGGACGTTAAAGATCCCATGGCACTATTTGAAGAGAAGGGAGTGTCTCCTGATGTCCTGGCCAACGTTATAAAATTGGTCATTCACTCCATGAATGTTTGTGGGACATTTACTGTGTGCAAATTGGCTGCCGTCTTTGCCTACACTGTCGCTACACTTCGCAGTATAAGACTGCGAAAATCCTGCACTTTGAAACATCTCAACGACATGATGAAGTACTGTTTCAAATGCAAGGATTATTATTATTATTGTTATTATAAGTGAGGAATTGTAGTCCCTCAGGCAGTGTAGCAATCTGTCAGCGCTGCCTCCTCTTTAATGTCAGGTCTTTGGAAATAAACAGGCTGGAAAGAAACTGTGTCAGTTTGCCAGTGGGTGCTGGTAAGGCCACAATGTTCAGTTAGAAGACCCGTCGTGAAATGCTAAAGCTGGGAGCAGTGATGGTGTCACTAGTGTTTAGCAAGCGTTAGGAGAGCGTTTGCGATGACAGAAGTTCAGACAGAGAGTTCAAAGAACATGTCAACACATTACTGGGACCAAAAACATTCAATTAGCAAACTCCTTTTCCCCCATTTTTCCCCAAGTCTACATTTCATCATCTAGGCTGCTTATCGTTAGACAGAATGTCCTCAGAGCGCTACAGTGAGCAACCCATACTGTAATGACCAGAGAATGTTCTGGAACAGTTTTACCATAGAATAACAGAACGCTATGTTGACATAATTGTCTCTTTATCGTTTATCAAGCCCCCTGGGAACCACAAATTGATCAAAAATACAGGGAAAGCTGTTGATAGATTTATAGATTTTACACTAATATTTCTCTTTTTTTAAACTTTGCATAAATACACAGTGGACCTGGAAGAAGTGGCCTGTTAGAGCAGCCTCTGTGCACACAATACAATAACAACAGATTGATTTTGTACAGCACCTCGGGAGGATGACAAGGTGCTGGACAGTTGAGAGTTTGGACCTGTGCTGGGGGGTGAATTTGGGAAGCGTGGAGGGGCCAAGGGGGTTGGTGGTCGGAAGATGACCGAAAACACAGTCAAAGAGGAGGGCCTTGAAGGAGGCAAGGAAAGGGGCGACGGAATGATGGGATGGAGTTCCACAGGGTGGGGGCCGAAAGGCTTTAGGCCCGATTGCCAATGGTGGAGTGCGTAGGGCAAGGGAACGTGAAGCAGGCCGGTGCCCGCTGAATGGAGGAAGCGGGCGGATTGGTAGGGTTTTAGAAATGGCAACCCCTGTATCCATACATTACAAGTCCTGTATGCTCACAGTATAAAGCGAACCAGAAATGCAGACAGTAGGTTCCTTCAGTGTTTGAGAACCCTGCAGTTCAATGACCTACTTACTATTGTATCACAGTGAAGGCAGATCCGGTGTCTTTCCTTAAATATCCTAAAACATTATCAGGAAATTATTGCTGTTTCCTTATTCCTCTGGGAACTCAGCACAGCGCTGCCAAAGCACCACATCCATCTTGTTTTCCCGCAGTGTACAGGCCACGGATCCGGGAACACACTGAGTAACAACAATCGTCCTCATGGAACATCATGGGACTGTATGCGTAGGACATGCGTACGATCTGAGATAATTGCGTTTACACGGCGTTAACAATGTCATAGCTTGACGGCAAGCCAGGGAGCAAGGTGCAGTCGAAGCGGAAAGTCACTTCAATGTGAATTTGAAGACGGACAAAGAGAGGGCACAGCGGAGGGACTGAGGCAGGGAGTTCCAGAGGGTCGGGGCATAGTGGCTGAGGACACCGATCAATGCACTGTTGTCCCGTTTCCTGTGTCAACCTGGTGCAGTGTTAGCACTTCGCCTCTGAGTCTGAAGGTTGTGGGTTCAAGACGCACATCTGGATTTGGAATCACAAGGTCTAAGATGACACGCCAATGCAGTGTTGGGGGTTTTTGCGTTGCCTTCCTTTCGAATGAGATGGTGAACGTTAAAGGTCCCACGGCACTATTTGAAAAGAGAAGGGAGTTTCTCTCTCCCGGTGTCCTGACCAACAATCTCCAAATAAAATTGGCCGCTGGTTGTTTGCGGGACATTGCTGTGCCCAAATTGGCTGCCTGTGTTTTTTACCCCCAATATTCGCAGTCACTCCACTTTACAGTATAATTTGTGAAATGCTTATTATTATTAAGAAACGATGGCATCATACCAACATGGCTTCTTTGCAGAAGCAGAACCATAGGTTCGACATTATACACAACAATCAAAGCAGTGACAGGTCTGAGCCCGAGCTGCCTGGCATATTATCCCACGATCCAAACTTTCAGCAGTGAATGCTGAGAACAGTGAAATGAATATAATCAGGGGCAGGAATCACACAGCGGCTCATTTGTGAGCTGAAAGAGTAAAAAAAAAGACCAGTTTGTGCTTCGAGAAGGAGTTCCAGCAGCAGTTTATTGAATCATAATTAATTTTTCAATTCCTGAAATTTGAGATGTGTTCACTTGTGTTTTTGGTAAAGGCATCTCTTTGAGCTGCTGGTGTATTACGTTCCCTCGCAACATCTCGCAAAATCAAAACCATTTGTTTTTCTTTGGGGCTCCGAGCCATCACAGCGGCCAAAGAAATCCCCAATTCTTCTGAAGGAAACAATTTGGTCCGGTACTGAATGCTGGGGTGAGGCATAATGACGAAGGGAAATAGATGATTGATATTGAAAATAGGGGGTTGTTTTTAATCAACTGTTGTGAAGGTTATTTGCACAGGTGCTGTTATGCCCCTCGATCGACAGCTTCCCATGATCTTTAGCCTAAGATAATCATCACTGCTATAACCACAACACCGCGAGTAATGGCTTTCTTTCTGGTGCGATGAATAAACATTCCAATTTTTAAAAATTGTAATAAAACGACCAGCTTATTAAAACAAAACCTCCTTTTCCTCTATTTTGTCGCCGTTATTCTTCTCTTTTTCTGTGGTATCTCTGACCCTGACCTACAACCCTCCAAATAAAATTGATTGTTCACTTCACGGCTGCATGTGGGACGTCGCTGTGCGCACGATGTTGCCTTGGGGCAAATTGGTCACCGCATTCTGCGTGTAAAACGCACAGTCACAAAACTTTACAGTAAATCTGGACGTGAAAGATGTTAAATGAAATGGAAGGATTATTTTTAATTTTTAACTTGCACAGTTTTCCCCTGGGGAGGTGGTGGTGGACAGATGGAGGCTGCCAGGTTTGTCAAGGCTGATTTTCCATCGATAGTTCAGACAGGAGTGGAATAGGGCTTTAGTTAAACCAATCCTGGTAATTAGATCCAAACCGGCATGACACCATCCCATTCGGTCCCTGAGCATTCGATTTCAATGGATCAAATTACTTCCCATCAACTCCCCCTGGATAGAATTCCTGAGGACCAAACCACTTCTCATTCCACTCTCATTGTGAAGAATTGCTGTAGTACAAAGCTTTTCCCGGCCTGGCGTTCCAGTAGAACAGGCACCCATTGTACAAAATCCTTCATCCAAGCATAACACTTGGAAATAAATTGCTTCAATGGAAAAAATTCACCAATTATCTTGTCTGAATGCCGACCGTGCTGTTTGGCATCAATCTGGCTCTGAGTAACACTCTGAGTCAGAAGGTTGTAAGTTCAAGCCCCCACTTTGAGCTCGCAGTCTAGGCTGATTCTCCAGTGCGGTGGTGGGAGGGGGGAGCGCAGCATTGTTGGAGGTGCCGGACTACGTTAAACTGAGGTACTATTGGCTTGCTCAGGGGGATGTTAAAGATCCCATGGCAAAAACAGAAGAGCATTTCTCCTGGTGTTTCTGGCTGATCTGATCATTCTCTTCATGGCTGTTTACAAATTGGCTTCTGCATCCGCTACAAAATACACAGACACTACACTTTACAGTAAATCTTGTAAAGTGTTTTGACACTCCCTGGTGGATAAGGTGTTTTTTCAAATGCAATTATTATTATTATTACTTATTCAATACTCAATCAAACATCATCACCTTCT